GGGTGCAACGTACGTCTGGAGGGCGTCGCCGACGATGACGGATGCGTTCTCGATGCCGTTGGCGTCCCAGGCTTCCTGGGCTTGCTTTGCGTAGTTTGCGTCGAACTCGAGGCCGGTTACTGTGCCGTTGGGGCCGACGGCGTGGGACCAGACCATGCCGGAGTAGCCGACATATACGCCGATTTCCAGGACTGAAACTTGTTAGTTGTTGTTCTTCATTCATGAGAGTTGAAAAAGGTGTCCTTCTCTAGTGAGAATTGTACGAGAATGAGAAAACGAAGTGATTTCGTCATCCAAGTAACCTCCTCCGTACGAAAATCAAGCAATATGGACAACGGTAACAAGAAACCAGACCAACAAGACACACTCACGAAGGAGCATCTCACTACGTTCTCTCACTACGTTCTCTCTATTCCATCCGGAACAAAATTGAAAAAACTCACCCCTCTTGGCCCCAATCAACTTGGCGAGCCAGATATGGTTCTGCGCCTGAAAGTTGCTAATCATGAGCATCGACGTCTCAGGCTGCGTGGTGTCGATGTGGTCATGGTACGCGACAATGTGCGCCGGTAGCGGCGTTGAGCTGCTCTCCGAGTACGCCGTCACGTTGCGCGAGACCTGCTCGTTGGGGTACAGGACCGAGACGGAGGACTTCATCTTGAGGCGTGCTCTCGGACAATACCGTTTCTTCTTTAGACGGAGATTTTGAAGCTATGTAAATGTGAGTGATTATCCCAGAACGAGAGTGAGTATTATGACCCGGCGCGGAGATAACTCACTTGGTGTGCCGGGTATGTGATTACCCGAGTAAGGCAGCAGACACAGCTAATAGACAGAGGTACAGGTGGATGGACGACGGTGAACTTGAGAGATGACGAAGAAATGCCAACGGTAGCCGAGATGATGGTGATTTATATGGGATTCTTCACCACCTGACTAAAACTACACATCACCTTCAACGTCAGGAACGCCGTCGACATGGGTATCCGTTGTCCCACCTCCCCGCTCGGCGCGAGGTGCCGGTTCGGCGGGCACGCGACGTCGCTCATTGCCCCTCCCCCTCCCCCGCCTGCCTTCCCAGTTGCGCAATCACCCCGCCAAAACCTCTCACCTCTGCTTCCCACAACCATCCACACCTTTGCCGTGGTCTCTTCCCGAGCGCAGGACGGGATAGGCAGAGAATGAATCTAAACTGCAGACTAGCTGATTTGCCCAGTACCAATTGACGAACCAGATCTGCCCTGACTCGGCCGACGATCGGCTCGGGGATTAGATGCTGTTGCTTCTGCCTGCAGGTAGGGCGTGCGTGCATGGATGGCACGGCGTTACCGGGAGTTCTTCACGACCTCCTATCCCGCCCTCTTCTCGAGACCACGCAAAGGATCGTGAGATCCGGTCTGATAATCAACGTGACCACAGGCCAGAAAAGCTTCGTCTGCTCCCGCGTGGTTTTGACAGCACCTTGCGCGCGGGAGCTTATCTTGCAGACGGGAACCGATTCTGCACTCACTGACACACACGCACGCACATACATGAATGGCATGTACACGCTACTTGTACCTACGTCGCATGCAGTCGATAGCACGGGTACATGTATCAAGGTTCGTAACACCGAAGATGAGACGGATTTTCCGTGCTTGGTCTCTGCGCGGGCAGCCAGGTTTTTGGAGGGACGAAACTGTTGGACTTGCCGTTTCGGGAAGGAGGGGCAATTGCGAAGTTGTGTTATTCGAAACGGGCAAAATTCTACGGTAAGGACTTGTATGCTTGTATTTGCGGACAAGTCTACTGCAGATCGCCATTCTCTACCTACCTATCCAATGGCTCGTATGATTGAAGAAAGAAGACAAGTGATTCATAACGATTGCTGAAAATTCAAAGTGTATTACTGCGAATCTGCCTAGTTTCTAGATTCATTACATGCTCTACTTTCTTCCCTTTTCTCCCTCTTTGAAATTAGATTCCACCGCAAACACTTTCTTCTTTTCTTTTATATTATACTATCAACCTGGCGCGTACAAGTGTACAATGTCCCTTCTAAGGTCCCAATGCCAGCAGGAAGAAGCTGAAGAAGATCGAGCGGCCTCTTTCAAGACCACTGAAACCTTCCTCCCCTTCCTCCCATCGCCAACGGGGATCCATTGCTTCCAAGAGCTATGATAGCGCTTAGAAGAAGGCGAAGGCCATGGCGATGATGGCAGCCAGGGTGAAGGGAGCCTGGAGGCTGGAGCTGCCTGCGGTGGCGACCTTGCTGGGCTGGGCCGGGGGCTGGGCGGGGGGTTGAGCGGGAGGTTGAGCGGGCGGCTGAGAGGGAGGCTGAGAGGGAGGCTGCGAGGGAGGCTGCGACTGCGAGGGAGGCTGGGCAGGCGGTTGGGCAGGCGGTTGGGCAGGCGGCTGGACAGGAGGCTGCGAGGGAGGTTGAGCAGGCGGTTGAGTAGGAGGCTGAGCCGGGGGTTGAGCAGGAGGCTGCGCGGGCGGCTGCGAGGGAGGCTGCGACTGCGAGGGAGGCTGGGCAGGCGGTTGAGCAGGCGGTTGAGCGGGAGGCTGCGCCGGCGGCTGGGCGGGGGGTTGAGTAGGAGGCTGAGCCGGGGGTTGAGCAGGAGGCTGCGCGGGCGGCTGCGAGGGAGGCTGCGACTGCGAGGGAGGCTGGGCAGGCGGTTGAGCAGGCGGCTGGGCAGGAGGCTGCGCCGGGGGTTGAGCCGGGGGTTGGGCGGGAGGTTGAGCCGGGGCGGTAGGCGGGCTGACCGGAGCCGTGGTGTTGGTGTACTTCTGCTTACTGGGGCTGGTGGTCGGCGCCGGGGGGGCGGGAGTGCCCCGCTGCGAGGAGACGATGACAACCGGGGGCGGCAGGACAACGACCGGAGTGGTGGAGTGGTGCTTCTTGGCGGACGTGGTGACGGGCGGCGGCGGGATGTTGCTGTAGTAGGTCACCGTGGTGCAGGGCTTGGTGCCGTTCGCGGGGATGGTCGAAGTGATTTTCGTGTAGTGGATAACCTTCTTGGACGAAGAGGGGCAAGGGGTGGTCTTGGGCTTCATCGATGTAGTCTTGTGCTTAGAGGTGGTGCAGGGAGTGGTCGTCTTATGCTTGGAAGTGGTACACGGGGTAGTCTTAGGCTTAGACGTGGTGCAAGGTGTGGTAGTCTTGTGCTTAGACGTGGTGCAGGGAGTCGTCTTCGGCTTGGACGTAGTGCATGGAGTTGTCTTCGGCTTCAACGTGGTGCAAGGAGTTGTCTTCGGCTTCGACGTGGTGCAAGGAGTTGTAGAGCGCTTGAGGGTGGTGCAGGGCGTCGTCGTGGGCTTCTTGGATGTGGTGCAGGGCGTCGTCGTGTGCTTCTTGGATGTGGTGCAGGGCGTCGTCGTAGGCTTCTTGGGCGTGGTGCAGGGCGTCGTCGTGTGCTTCTTGGATGTGGTGCAGGGCGTCGTCGTGTGCTTCTTGGATGTGGTGCAGGGCGTCGTCGTAGGCTTCTTGGGCGTGGTGCAGGGCGTCGTCGTGTGCTTCTTGGATGTGGTGCAGGGCGTCGTCGTAGGCTTCTTGGACGTGGTGCAGGGCGTCGTCGTGTGCTTCTTGGACGTAGTGCAAGGGGTCGTCTTAGGCTTCGACGTGGTGCAGGGAGTCGTCTTCGGCTTAGACGTGGTGCACGGGGTGGTGGTCCGGCGTCGGGTGGTGGAGGTGGTGCAGGGCTCAGTCACCTTGCGGGTGATGGTGAAGGGGCCCCTAGTGATGACCTCAGTCCTGGTCTTGGTGATGGGGTCCACGATGATGTCCGTCTTGGTGGTGGTGACCGGCTTCGGGGGGAGAACGACGACCGGGGGTGTGTCGACCGGAGGAGCGGGGAAGTCGTGCTCGGGCGGGCTCCAGGGAGCCGGAGGAGCGGGGAAGTCATGCATGGGCGGGCGCCAAGAAGCCGGGCCGGGGTTCGGAACGGGCATCTGGGCCCCGGCAAGCCCGGAGAGGACTGCCACAGCAGCAGCAACGGTCACCTTCATTTTCGAGAAGGAGGGTTAGGGAACTAGAAGAAAACGATTGTAAGTTGGTAACGATTGACTGAGTGAAAGGGTTCCCGCCTTCCGGTAATGTGAGCGAACGACTGATGGATGAGGGGAGAAGAGAGAAGAGAAACCCTTGAATCTCCTTCAACCATCTTATACGGCGGCTCACTGGGCAGTTCCTCGGCTTGCTGGTGTGCCGGCCTTGATGGCCAGTCGGTCAACTTGTTGAGAACGTCGAAGCCATTGCAGCCAAGTTGAGATGGGTCGAGACGCGCCGAGTCGGGTTGGCGTATTGAAGTTTATGCAATGAGCTCCTGATATTCTAACCATGTCCGTCGGACAGGCGCTTTTAGAAGTTCATGGCTGCAGGTGAAACTTTTCTTATGGCATTAAGAACCTCTTTGGCGGTCGTGGCTGGAGCAAAATGTCGGCGACGCTGCCGGAAGTTTTTTCATCACTCAATTGATCGGCGATGCTCCTTGGGCATTGGAGGCAATGTTGCGACTTGTTGAATTCTTCACATGGGTCTCGATGAGCCCGTCTTCATAGATGGCGAACAATCCTGAATCTGTGCCTTAGTATTGATGAAAACGCTTGGGTACATATGATGGAGCCTCTATGTTCGGTTCTTTGCTGAATCGTCCACCACTCGCTTTTCGGACTGCGATATGTCATAATTGGCAGACCAGGGCGCCGTATGTCGTGTCGTCATTTCTACGACACACAGAGTGATGATCTCTGCAAGCCGTCTGGTAGGTCTGACTCGAAAACGATAAAAGTGGTGATTCTGGCACCTCGACCCGTCTCTTGACGAAGTCAAAGGGCTCCGTGTCCAGTGCTCCCAAAGCTCCCGTGCTTCCGCGGTGTCCCTTGACACTCATCCGTGTGTGTTCTCCGTTTCGTTCTCCGACCATGCTACGCTATGTATGCCATCTCTCGACTCCAATCTTTTTTTGATTCGCGCGACAAATACACAACCCCAGCCCCTAAACGCCATGTTGCCATGCAGCTCAATCGTCGGATTCGCCAGAAAAGAGACCGAATCTCATCCGGTGGCTCTGTGTCTGATGTCAGCTTAGGGCATCCTTGCGGAAGTGGTGGGAGGAAACGTACAAAAGGCAGCTTGGGGATGACGACTCCCAGGACGGCCAAGAAGTTGATGATGAAGTAGGCCAAGTCATAGTGGGTGTAGTGCGTGCTGAGAAGGAACAGCATGATGGGCACGCTAAGTAGGAACTTCTTTGCGGGGGTGTACTGAGCGCCATCGTCAATCTGCTCCCACATGTTGAGGTTGTCAAAGGCTCCGCCATTGAACTCGAATGGTACGCCACGGACGTAATGGAACATGATGTACGATCCGAACATGTAGGAGATATTGGTCAGGGTCCATGACGTCTCCTGGGACACGCCAGGCATGATGTCGTAGAAGATCTTTAGGCAGAGAATGAGGACGAAGTGGATGGTCCAGGCACCTGATGATTGCGGTGGTGTTGTCAGTTTTTGTGTCTCAATGGGGAGGGGAGGCACGCGACAAGCACGAAAGGGGGGAAAAAGCTTCCTGCGGAGCTCTGCGCGGGGTTCTCTCACCTTTGGCATTGACCCAGTTCGCATTCAAGTTGGGCACAACGGCCTGGTCACTTATTTGCTCGAGAGTCTCGGGCGGCTCGTAGTGGACTTGAAGAATGCTGCTAGATCTTCTTCTGCGGGCACCGGTATCCGCCATTGTTCTGTACGATCCGCTGCCACGTCGCGGAGGATTGGTGGCCGCGTCGTACGAGACGGTGCGAGAAATGAGGATTGGGGAAGACAGTTTGGCGGTGTTGAAGGGGTATCGGGAGAGAGGATCGGGTTATGTACGAATAGAAAGGGCGAAGGAGATGGAAGCGGGTAGTTCGGGATCGTCGTTCTTGGTCCAGATGATGCTGGAAGCTGGGTCGGCGATGGTGTGTGATGGATGGGATCCAATTTGCTCTGGCAGCCCCCTTGATGATGTCACGGGGTTCGGCGAGCAATTCGCGACGGATGAGGCGCGGTATTCTCGATAGTGGTGATGATGCGAATGAATTGATGGGAGCGAGAGACGAAGAAGCAGTCGTCGAGACTGTAGACGGTGGAAGGGAGCGTTAAGCTGTAAATGTTGGGGACGGTGTCGTCGTAATTGGCTACTTGGCAATGGGATGAAGGAGAATTAGATATTCATAGCAGCGGACGAGGGACCTCAGGCCTGATGGGGACGACTGGGACACGGGACAGGAGAGGAGGAGGAGACTGGACCCCGACACGGACTCCAGCAAGTGTCCTCGCGGACGTGGAGGCACACAGGACACACACTGGACACACTGCCTGCAAGGGCAACCAGCGAGCACTTCCCAGCTTCGACCCACTCCGACCCCGGCAAGGCGAAGCAAGACACGACGAGATTGGTTCCGAGTGGACAAGCTGGGGCAGCAGCATCGACTAGCGAGCAACTGGGCCACCGCCAGCACTGTGGCCACCACTAGCCACTGGTGAGCCAGCAGCTGCTGCCAGCTCTCAGAACGAGCAGCTGCCAGCCCGCCCCCCCAGCCGACACGAGGAGCGGGCAGGCGAGCGAGCAGAGCGTGGAGCCCCAGTCGCGAGACGGGTCAGGGTCGCTCATTCATTCAGGGGACCACCCCAATTTGCACCGCGAGATTGGCAGTACAGTGTTGGCAGGCACTGGCGTGACTTCCACTGAAGAACCCCAGGCAGGGCAAGAAGCAGGCAAGAAGCAATCCGCGGCCTGCGATTTCTTCATCTGCCTTATCTTTTGAACTGGCCTGGCTTGCCGCCAACGCTGAACAGAACATCCAGCCCAGCCCATCAACCAAAAAGAAACGAATCGACTCCGATCGCATACAGAAGACACTTTATCTTGCCTAATGGGCCCCGTAAAGACGCGCCTAGCGTAGCACAGCACACGTCACCCACTCCTCCTCCCCTCAGAAGCAAGGCGAGGCAAAGCAAAGACTGCAAAACAACGCAGAGCACGGGCTGAGACCCGCGACCCGGGAAGGATCACTGACGACCCGAGGGATGCTGCAGCAGCGCAGCACCTCACACGGTCAGATGGACGGCCCAGACCCGAGCGAGCATTCGACGTGCCACTGTCCCGCCGCAAGCTATCCGTACTGTCAGCTACCCTGCATGTGCATCTCGCTGCCGGACCGCCTGCCTGGCTGTGCAGCACCGGAAGGACGGAGCACTCTGCGGCATAGGGTTCGCCAATGCTATCTGCTAGCGGAGCCGGGGAGGAACCAGGAGAGGGGTTCCCCTGGCCAGTGTCTCCTGGGAACATGCCCCTATTTCCAGACATTTTGCGACGAGAAGCCCAGACGGCTGAGGCGGCTGGCCGGACGGGAAACAAGCACACTGGCTGGAAACTCAGAAACGCACTGTCGATTTCGGTTGTAACCGTTGGGTCGAGACTGAGTCTGTCTGCTCCTATGTTCCTGTACCAAGCACCAACGGCAACACGCGGCATGAACATTCCACCACCACCTTTTTTCGTAGCAGGCTAAGCTAAATCCTAGGCCAAGGTAAGCTTAGAATCGTCAGAAAACACGCCGATACGGTTCACAAACTAAGGACACCCACGCCAATGTCATGCATCTCCCAACATCTGGGGGCTCTGGGATCTGGCCACGCTGGGCAGACGAGGCCACGGCCAGATGCAAAGGAATGGCACACCAAATTGCCTGGCGTTATTGTGGAAGCACTGTCCAGAAGCCAGACTCACCTCGGTACTCCGTACCCTCGCCATCCAAGACATACGGTGTTGCTCGCCCTTCCCACCCTTTCCCCCTCTCGACCTGACGAAAGCTACTTCAGTAGCAGGTTATCTGAGCTAAATCTGTCTCTCGCCTTCTCCACTAATCGGGCTGTGCGATAAGTTATTGACAGTAGTGGTTCGTTGCGTTGCGTGGGATGAACGTTCAAGTCCTGGCGTTCCGGGATATCTCACCGAAGCCGAGGAGTGAATCTGCAATGCTGATGGAGTATCAAAAAGTCTGTTTCCCCATTCGTACCGAGCCCCGTTTGTCGTCTGCCGATATCTATCAAGCTGCCCGTGTTCATCTGCCGTCGTTACTCTTAGCCTGCAGAGATCAGCAATACTTTGGACGAGAAAGACACGTCAAATCGCCCGTTGCGATACCGCGGGAATCCGTGGCGTGTCTTGCTCCAAGAGGATCAAGACAACGCGAGACTTGCACGCAACTCGTGAGGCATGAGGCCACAAGCTGGCTGTCAGCTGTCAAATCCTGGCGCTCATCATCTTTTCCTTTTCGCATCCATCACCCGCAGTAGTTCGAGCCCTCAATCGCGCGCCCTCTGCAGGGCTGCGCTCGGTTCAGGGACAGGAACAGGACCAGGAACCAGACCAGCAGTGCGACCAGTGACCAAAGATCGAGCCTCATCTCCGACCACAAGGGTTCTGGTTCTGCTAGTACCTGCTCCTACCAAACCGTGAGGGTTGCATGCTGCCGGGTTGTAATTAGATGGAAAGCGATAGGTCCAATAATGCCGATTCTAGAAGTCGACACTTTCGCTTCCGCATCTCGCCCAGTGGAAGCGAAACCGCCTCAGGTGCTCCCAATCCATGCACTGTCAAGTGCCTTAATTAGTGATGCCCCAGAACATGAATCGTCCTTGAGGGGCAGTTGGCACTGTGCAGAGGCCCGCACCTCGAAAAATCGATCCCAACGGTGTGGACGGCAGGCACGGTTCGACGATGCAGCGCTGCAGGAAGGGACGTGCTCGGATTGTGTCGGCTATTCTTCGGCCGACGACCCCCGGTTGGTTTGTGACGTCGAACAAAACTGGATACCTGCATACAATTTTTTGACCCAGGGCGGCCAATTCATCGCGGACGCGATTGACGACGACGTACAACCCGCGAGATCGACCATCTCTGCGTCACCAGGACGCCAAATTCTCTTCCAGGACACATAGACACCGACTCTTGCGCAATTTTGACCTAAGAGATTGGGTTCGAGACGGCCGTTTCGCGCCAAAGCGTCTGTATTCTCTGCGATTCCTCAGGTCTTGTAGACGTCCATACGCGAACCGTCAGACATCAACGATATCAAAGGTTTTGGAGTCCTTTCATCTATCTTCAGGAAACTCATCGACTTTTTGATCGTTGTACTCAAAGCTTCGACGTGGGTCTCACGAAGTTGAAAGAAGCCTAAATCTTAATTCCGGCCTTGTACAGACTGTCGTGGCCAGTCGGCCTCACTCATCACACAACATGGAAACTTCAGAACAGGCAGAAGCAGTGCCGGTATCTAGCGAGGTGGTGGAGGCCACTGAATCAGTAGAATCGCAGCAGCCGTCAAAAAAGCGCTCATTGGAGGATATGCAGCAGGACACTGAGCCCGACGCATCAGAGCCTCATCAGGCATCACCACCGGAGCTTGAAGCCAAGCGGCCAAAGACCAGCCAGGAAGATAAGAATGGGACTGCGGACGTCGTAGAAGACGAGAGTGCTGAGGAGGGTGAGCTGGAGGATGAGGACGACGCATCTGAGAATTCAGACTTTGGCTCAGAAGAAATGGATGGTGAGGAGGACGGCGATACGAGGCCGGCGACGACGGCAGCCGTTGAAAAGCCCGATGCAGGGGCGCAACGGACGACGCGATCCATGGCAAAGGCCCCGGCCCAGGTTGGATGGAATCAAGGCATCACGTCCCAGATTCGGACTTCATTAGGCGGGGCTGCGAAAACTGCACCAGCACCGTTCAAGGCTAAATCAAAGGAACCAACGCCGGAACCCGAGGCTGAGGCCAAGGCCGAATCCGAACGTCAACCCGCAACAGAAGCCGCGCCTTCCCAAGCTCCTCCACCTGCCCCCGTCGACAAGGACACCACAAAACCCAAGAAGAAAACACGACAAGAACTTAAGCAGGAAAAACAAGCTGCCCTAGCTGCCTCGGGCAAAGAAAAGGGCCTAGACGAAAAGCCGTTTGAGCACAGTGGCCTGCTCCTTCATTTGCCTGCCAAGAAAAGTCTGTTGCAGCCCAAGGGTAACAACCTGGGCGCGGGCGTTTGGAAGGCCAAGTTCAAGAGCTGGTGTCAATCTTTCATCAGCCGCAACATCGACCAGCAGGACCGGCTCAACGCCGACATCGTCGTCGCTGCTCTGCAAGCATATATCAACACTCGCGCGCGCTGGACAAAAAAGAAGCAGCAGGGCGCCGCCCTAGCCGAGGCCAAAAAGCATCAAACGAAAATTGACATGGCTGCGAACCTGGCAACCATCCTGAAGAACGACGATTACTTGAACATGACCACAGGCACAGGCACCGAGGATTCTCCCATGGTCATCGACGACGGAGACGACGATGATGTCCAGGAAGTCCCGCCTCCCAGCAAAACCACACCCGCCGTCGAGCAAACCGCTGATTCCGCCAAGACGGAAGACTTGGAAGGAGCCGCCCATGCCCCACCCGCCGATACCCAAGAAGACGAGCTCTCGGACGACGAGATGGAGAGCGGTCGACCTGGCCCGGCTATCATGAGCGAGGAGGAGGATCTGGCTGAGCAACGCAGGTACTTCCCTGGCCTTCCCGAGTCTGAGCGAATTTGCATCTACTGCGCTACCCCCGGTCATATGTCGTCTGCATGCCCCAAGACGGCCTGCAAGTTTTGCGATTACGAAGGCCACTTTTCTTGGAATTGCCCGACTCGCGAGAGGTGTACTAA